TATATGTTGTGCCAGAGATTATTTAATCTGTTCAAAAGTTTTGCTTCTCATAACCTTTTGCGCATGACTACATGTGACTAGATGTAATTTATTATCAAATACTTTATCCATGTTTAAAAAGATTATTATTTTATTTTTATTTTTTTGCTATCAGTTGAGACTATTGTAGAAAAATAAGGCTTGTGAACTTTTAGAGACAAACTAATCCGTACTTAGTTTCTGCTGTCTTTCTTTCAAAGTGATCTAGAGATTTCCTGTACAGAAGGGTTATCATATTATATTTCAATTATATTTATATAATAATTTTGTTTTGAGTATTGCTGTCGTGTTTTCGAATGTTATATCTGTCTACGAAATGCAAATTTTTACTAATCGTTACGGGATAGTACTATTTGAAACTATGAAATTTGAATGTACTGTTGCTTGTCGGTGGCTGAGTCTTCCTGTGCTCCACAGATCCATAGCTCTGTGTTGTGTATGCTTTTTACTGCATCTATCTTACCAATAGACTTGTATTTTCATATCCTAGTCCATGCACCCTGACATGAATATGTTCGGTTTACTTTAGAGCTTACCAGTAATTGACCTAATTTGAACCAAATGAAGGGATATGGGGTGTATGTGGGATGTGTCTCATGCACTCAACTATAGCGAGCATTTTTCTCTGTCCTTTTTTTGGCCGTAATGGGGTGTGTCATAGACTTCTTCTTCTTAGTGCGCGTGTTTCCCATAGAGAGTTCTCACAAAGACAACCAGTAAAGAGAGGCCACCGCGACTGCCACTGTAGTAAGCGATCTAGGAGTTCAAGTCTTTGTGTTTTTCCCATGTGCCGTATCTTAACAGATTTGCGCCGGCTGATTAGTGTAACTTTGTGCAGGGGATATTTGAGTCACGACACGGTGGAATCAGGCGCTCGTCAATTCTTGGACTTGTGGAGTTATTGGTATCATTTTAAAGGTTGTTCGCTTGTCTTGCTTTTTGTGAAAATAAATAATCGTATATCCTGGAAAGACGTCGAGATATTTGCGATTAAAGGAGGCGAGTGTCGCCTAGTTTCAGAGGTAAAATTGGCGAGAAAATGGGTACCAAACGTTTGGCGACTTTCAAAGCTTGAGAGTCCTTTGAAACTGCAAATTTACATTTTTGTGTCTTAAATCAACTTTTTATTTTCAGTAAATTCCACGCAAAAATTAGTAAGCAGAAATTCGATAAATATTGCCAAACGGACAGAAAATGCCAGTTTTTACGATTTCATTATTTTGACGAGCGCCTGATTTCACCACGATGCCTCACATTATGTCAACTATAGTATTTATCTCACAGTTTTGCGGGTGGTTGGAGGGTGCCTCTGTTAGGCCCTACTTCTTTACTTTCCCTCTTTTGTTTCTGTCTGTCTGTTGTACTTGTTTCCAGCTCTCAAAGACCACTGTTGTGTCGATGGGCTTCTCTTTACTCGAAGAAAAAAAGACAACACACGGTTATGATAAGATCAGTTCTGTGGGTAGACTGATGTTGTGATGCTGATGATGTTGCTGCTGCGGATGAGGTTGATAGTGCTACAGCATTGATGGGAATAAAGTACACTTTTATATAAAAATTTTTAAAAAATTAGAAGTGGACGATCCTAAAAGAGTTAGGAGGAAAAAAAAACACTATTAACTTTCAGAATACTGTATCTTGAAGTCAGTGTTAGCCCTATCTTCCTCTGCTCCCTTGAGTCACGAGAAGAACAAGTCTAGTAACTTATCTCACGCACCTTCCATAGCTGAGCATATCGTTGAAAAATGGTGAAATGGTATGGGTTTAAGGCCCCTATCAACGTCCGTCTCCGATAGGACCGAGCCAAGTGGGAAGTTCGAGTAAAGTGCCTTTCCCAAGGACACAACGTCGGACCGAGCTGAGGCTCGAACCCACGAACCCGCAATCTCACGATTACGAGTCCGGTAGCCTAGGCTACCGACGCACCTTCCAAAGCTGTGCGTATCGTTCCATGTTTACAGTACATAATATGTCGGTACTTGGTCCTTTCACGAAGCAGTTACTATTATTATTCTGAGTTTCTTTTCAGTTTTAACTCTTTTATACGTTTCTCGGATTGTAGCTGCATTGAATTATTGCAGCACGTAGCCACCCCCACTCTCATTATGACGAGTGCCTGTTTGCAGATTGGGGGGGGGGGGGTTGTTTCCGACCTTCTCTTTTTTTTATAGTAAAGGGTTTTACGGCGCTCGCAACTGCATAAGGTCTTCGGAGTAAACACTACAGCCCATCCATCCACTTCACTGGTATGTTTCCACTTTCTTTCCTTCATTTTGTTATTAATCTCTCTATACTCTCTTGTCTAGTACAAATTGTATGAATGAACACGCTCTATTCATACCGTCTCATTTTGTATAAAGGCTGAGAAATCTGGGATATTAACGCCAGGACTTTCACGTCAACGTTTAAATTCGATACTCGTGATGAACACTAACATTTCGTTTCGTTTATGTTTTGTAAATTTACTTGTAACAGATTTTTATAGAAATAATTTCCAATTCCGTATTCGTCTGATAAATCAAAAAACACGTAGATCGTGTTTTGTTTTAATCCAAATATTTATTATGAACCTTAGTTCACGTATTTATTTAGAGCCTACCCAGCCAAACACGCCAGTGATATACTCACCCTCTGAAATATTCGGTGTAAGGTGAAGGGTCAATGATGACCTTAGGTCAAGAAATATTATAATACTGTGGTTGTAATACATAATTAATTGCTATTTGGTGTATGTAATAAAATGTGTATTCTTCAAAAAAATGGCATATAATTAAAAAATTACAACATATTTATCTAACTTAAGTACTACTAAAGTGGTGCCCTTGTCGAGGGGGTCAAGATGTTGGAAGTTCAATCTGAACAGTTGAGGTTTGATTCCTGGTCGTAGCAAGAAGGAGGTTTTCCAGTTTTCTTCAGTTGGTCGTGCTGCCAACAATAGACTCGTCGTCGGGCCAAACCTTAATGTTTTGATAGAGGCGTGTGTGAATAAGATGCTGCAACCGTATAATCATCGCATGAGACTGTAGAACGGAGAGGGTATGGAGGACTGTAAAGAAGGCAACAGAATTATTATACATGTCGCCTAAGCAGATGTCTGCATGGGGTATAAAACAATAAACTGCCATTTTACCTCTTAATTTTACATAAATGTAATTATTATCGAGATGTTCAAATTTACTGTATTATTTAACTATTCTTATATCGGTATCGCAGGAATTGGGAGCTTGTAGAGATTGTGCTTTTCTGTGTTTGTGTTGTTAACGAACAGTTTCTATATTCTGTTGTGTTCAATGGACACATTTTGAAAAGCCGTTATTTCGTTCTTTTTTTAACTGCAAAAAAAAATGTCTTCAACATCGTCCTTTTTATTCTTCTGAAAAGAGTGTTCTTTCTCTAAGGGGTCATCCTGCTTTGATCTCACAGAGTGACAGTTTTTTGGGAGAAGCGTCCATGGTCTTTTTTTTTCGTGTGTGTTACACTTGTTGAAATCGAGCACTTTAAAACTTGGGATATTTATAACAGCTTGATTGGATTATTCTAATAATAGTTCTGCCATTTCATTCTGTTGTGGAACCGTTCACTGTGTCCACTTGAATCAGGTCACCATAAATACACCGACCTTGTCAAGAACGCTGAATTCAGCCCGGAAGCTCGAAAGAAGAAGAATTATGTCTACTAATTTGATTTTAAATTTCAATTTCTTTTCTTTTTTTTCTTTGGGTAAAGGAAAAGGGAGGGGGGGCAGGGTGATGTAAAAGACCTGTTACAAGGTGGCTAATTTTCAAACTGTAGGTATCCCCACCTTGTGTGTCCCATGCTTTTGGAACGTGTTTTGGGATAGAGTCTCCTGAAGAGAACTGAATATAATGTCACAAAAGCCAGTAAAAAAATTTTTTTAATGAATAAATAAATATGAATAATGAGACGTTCAAGACGCTACAGTAGCTAATTTATGTACTTCAAATTCGTCTTCAGTTTCCTCCTGGTTTGTCTCCGAACTTGAGGTTAGCTCCTTAATACGTGCCATTATATTCCAGGGCAATAAGTAGACTTTGAAAAATGTGAAAATCCCAAGTGTCGGTTGTTACGTCCCAAGATTACGTGTCTCACTCATTAGACCCAGTCTTCCCCATGTCCGCCTTTATCCTGGACTATGTTCAATGTGAACAACACACACCCATCTTTACACGCTGTGAACCCATGAACTACACACTCTCATCTGTACACACTGTGAACCCATGAACTACACACTTTCATCTGTTCACACTGTGAACCCATGAACTACACACTCTCATCTGTTCACACTGTGAACCCATCAACTACACACTCCCATCTGTACACACTGTGAACCCATGAACTACACACTGTGAACCATGAACAACACACTCTCATCTTAACACACCAGTAACCATGACATGAGTCGACTCAATTCTTTCTCTCAACGCTCGCTGGTTGGTTGTGTTATTATAAGCTAACATTGATCAGTGTGATAGGTTATCGATCTGCTTTAAATAAATACATGTTGTCACGATAATCCCTTCATGTCCATGCCTCCATACCATTTTCATTGCGCCTGTTTTCTCTCATTCATAGCTTTTGACAAGCTCTCTTCAGAACTATTTCTATATATTATAGTTTATGCGTGTGTATTTGTAATCTAGTTAAAAATCTACATGTCATATTTATAGCTTACTTTTTGTGTATTATTCTAATGGACTGTTTACACATGATTTCTACATTATCATTCGATGTCTGTGTATTATTATTATCATTATCATTATTATTATTATTATTATTATTATTATTATTAT